AATCTGTCTTCTCTTTGAATCTCTGCATTTAATTTAATGCTCACCATCTTAGTCAGAATTAACAGAATCCTATGTGACTGCTTTCTTTTAGGCTGAGTTATTGAAGCTGCATGCCAGGCTGTTTCCTTTTGGCTGAGATGTTATTCTTTATATGCAGGGAAGCATCCTTTTCTGAGGTAGATTTTTTTTTTCCAGTCTGATTCAGTCTCAGTGCACCTACACTCCCCATTTATGTGCTGTCTCTTTGATCCAAAGTTGACCTTCCAAAACAGGAACAGTGACTAAAGATCCTTTCATGTGATCTCAGAGTTTGGAAGAGCAAGAACATCTCAGACAAAGTCCCTGAGGAAACAGTTTAAGGCCTATAAACTCTTTAAAGGAGCACCATAAATCAAGAATGCTAATTTCTTTATGATGCGGCACTCCCTTTTTGAGGTCCTGATTGTGTTGAATCTTGATATTTTAAAGGAGCAAGTGTGGAATAAACATGAACCAAATAACCTTTGCAAGGTTTCATGCAGCCAAAACTGAAGATAATAATACAATTAAAGGAAATAATTAATGCCCCTTGACACCATTAGAAGAAACTTTGAAGCTGCAAGTTGGTGATGCTCACATTCTGTGTTACAGTAGTTGAGGATATAAGCAACTAAAGCAATAGATACTGTAAAAAGGTCAACGTTTTCAAATTATTTGGCCCTCTTTCAATCAATACCACATTTCTATAAGGTCAGAATAACCTGAAAAAGAATCAATTAAAAGATTCATAATCAATTAAAAGATCCATAAAAAGAACATATTTAGGTGGTGGTGGGTGGGGGGCGTTCCACGTTAGATCAATTTTTATGTATTTACTTTTTGTAAATAAAACTCCAGATGATTGACAGCTTTTTTATATATATTTTGCTTGTTTAGAAAAGAAAAACTATTAATTATGTGGGATGAAAGAATTTGGTAATAATAATCCTCACGTTGAATTCATCTTAATAATTGTTGCATGGAGTTTAGAGCTAACTCCACCCTCCCTTTTTTGTTCTGACATTCTTTCTTGCAACTGACAATGCAAGAAAGAAAAATCTGTGCTGTTTAAAAATATTTCTTGCAGAAAAAAAAATGAGGAAAGTAATAGTTTTTTAAGTAATAGATTTTCTACCCATTAATTCGTCTATAAGGCAGAGTGTGGCCTCAATAACTGAGCAGATCGCCAAAAGTATTAACCTGCTGGAAATCATCTTGCTTGACGTCTTACTCCTTAATACACACATGGGCAAAATTGTTGCTACTCCGTCTTTAATGAAAGAAAAACCCATAATAGCCACAGAAATAACACAAGTTTGACAAAAGTAATAAATGAAAATTCTATGAAAATGAACAGATGAAAGTCAAGCATTGCATTTCAACCACGCTTCAGTAGGATGCATTTAAAAATTAAACAGGCCTGGACAAAATTGAGAGTGCCCTTAACTTAATAAGGCAGTCATACCATTCATGTAACTGCCATTGAGACTTCTGCTCCTCTCGGCAGGTATTTTTCTCACTCCTCATTAGCAAACTGCTCCAATTGTCTCAGGTTTGAGAGCTGACTTTTTCAAACGTCATTTTTCAGCTCCTTCCAAAGATGCTCAAAAGGATTACGGTCAGGGCTTAAAGAAGGCAACTTCGGAATAGTGCAATGTTTTCCTCTTAGCCATTCTTGGGTGTTTCTAGCTGTGTGCCAGATGAAGCAAAGTAACCCCAGAGCATAAAGGAGCCTCCTCTGTGTCTCACAGTAGAGACAGTGCTTTTTTTTTTTCTGGTATGCTTTATTTCTGGTCAGTGCACATTGAGCTGATGTGCCTTGGTAAAAAAAAAATTATTTTTGTCTCATCTGAAAATTCTACCAGAAGCTGTGAGGCTTTTAAATATGTAGTTTAACTAATTCCAGTCTGGCTGTTCTATGATTTGGCCCATCTTTGGCTCCAACAGTGACAAATGTTGCAATCTGACAATGATGTTCCTTGACCTTGAAGTTTACCTTTAATCTCTTTAGAAATTTCTCTTTTATTACCATTCATGTTATCCATCTATTTGATTGGTCATCTGTTTTGCTACTGTAGTCACATCTGAATAATAAGTAATCTTTTCAACTGTATTTTCTGGAACATCAGGCTGCTCTGAGATATTGTTATAGCCATTAACTTTAATATGTTCATTTATTATTTCTTTTCCAATCTCCTCAATTAACAATTTCCTTTTTTTCCCTCTATTCCATGTTGAGTTTGGTACACACCATTTCACCAAACAGCACAATGACTACCTGTACAGTAACTCTATATATAGACCCACTGACTAATTACAAGATTGTAGACACCTGTGATGCTAATTGGTAGACATACCTTGATTTAACATGTTCCCTTAATCACATTAGTATCTTTTCAAGGTTTACCTTCATTTTTGTCCAGGCCTGTTTCTTGATTTTGTTTATTATTCTGTTGGACCATAGTTGGAAAAAGCAACGTCTGACTTTCAATTGTTCGTTTTCATTGAATTTTGATTTATTATTACTTTTGTCAGACCCAAGTTATTTCTGTGACCATTGTGGTTTTTTCTTTAGTTGTACCAACAATTTTGTCCATATGTGTAATATTTTAACCTGGTGACACTATTCTATGAAGAAAAAGCAGAATCTGACACTGGTGGTGACATTTAGGCTGAAGAATGAGGGGAGAAATAGAAAGGCCAGTAGAATGAAGTTGCTGAAGCAGCTGAGAAGAGTTGCAGTTCAGCTTGAAAAGGAGACCCTCCTTGGCTTTGGAGCATAGAACAATGGTTGGCTGAGGTGAGGGAATGAAACTGACCAGATAGGCTGGAACAAGGGCACACAAGGCGGTGATTGGTAGGTGAAACAGGTAAAACTCATGGAACTGAACTTATGCCTTGGCTTAAGCTTTTTTAAAGTGCTAGTAAATAAATGTGTTTAATTGAAAAGTTATCAGCGGATTTTAATGATTTTCTTTTTTACCAAAGGTGCACCTCAAACCTAGGAACAATCCTTTAAAGTTTGGTGATGATCCACATCATAATCCAGATGGAGGATTTATTTTAAAGATTCTTCAACATTTTTTGGTTAAAGAACCAGAGAATGGTAGCAGCTACTATTGAAAGCTTCTGCATCAGACTCAAAAAAGTCCAGAGGTATTATACTCAAAACAAAAACACAGGGAATGGGAGCCGTGCCACGCTCAAATTCTCGATCTCCTGATCAAACAAGAAAGCAGAATGCAGATTGAATGAAGGTGAGGGCAGAACAAACACCAGAGGCTGCAGATTTTATTTATTTATACACTTATGAAAGGATTTTAATTAATTTTGCTAAAGGTGAACCTCATATAAATAAACAATTCATTCAAATTTGGTAATGATCTAAATCATGTCTTGAGTTTTAGCTATAGGTGTAAGTTACAGTATGTGGCCACATTTGCTGCTTGGTGGAGGTCTGCGCTCTCCATGTGCTTTTCTAGTGTTTATTTTATATTCCTGCTGAAATTCTATCATTAAATAAGACTTATATTATTTTTGCTTAAAACGTTCACAGTGGGTGAATCTCATACCAGGTTCATAATATATTAGGAATACATTAAATGCTTTTGGGTCTCTTCTTTGCTTTAACTTGATAAACTTTTGAAGCCTTTTAAAATCAAAACAAAGACTTTTAATCAGGATAATGTGACCAGATTTTGATTTTTATTCTCCTTTATTTTGATTTGTTATGATTTTACTCACCAATAACATTGAATTGCAAAAATAATTCTAAAAAATAAATAGAATCAAAAGTCTCAATGTATTTATTATGTATAGCAAAATTACAAATGTTTATCAAGAATATGTATAAATCATTATGATTTGAGTTCCATAAAATAATCATTTGCATCACAACTTGTTTTAGCTTCTCTTTCATATCCATCATTATAAGATTTTAAGAGCAAATTCTGTTTACCTCACTCACACTGTAAACTTTAATTCATGTTTTGTAGAATCATCAGCTGAGTTATTTTCTACCTATATGATTCAGTAGTTCAGCTTTTTCAAATCTCATTCCCGATGTGGTGTAGATTTCCTGTTTCAATAGATTTTCTGGATAAATAGCAACTGTTCGTTTCCATGATACTATTGCAGGGTTTTGTTACGGTTTGCTCTGCTGCCTGCAAATGCTCGAAAATCAATAGAATAACCTTCACATATTTGGAAACCAGAGAAAAATTAGCGACTCTGTTGATTACATTTTCAAACTGTCAGCTTTTTCACATAGATTTTTTTAACACTTCTTCATAATATTATGGTAGCAACACTTTTGACTTATTTCAATTGTCTTTTCAAACTGAGAGCTTCAAACGATGCTGTTCGGTTGATGAGCAAACCCATACAGCAACACTGGGAACACCGAAACAAGGACAAAGTCTAAGGATATTTTTAATTACGTCATTTCATTTTCTTGTACAGAAATTGGGATTATGGGAAATGCAGATTGGTATAATTTACTTTCTTGACACCTTAAACTGTACTATTTGTATTACACACTTACAGATTTTAAAAGTACTACAATTGGAGAAAAGAAACTAAATTATTCCCCGTATCGAGTTCTCCTTTTGTAGAGAATTTTGGGATAAAATAGCTTTGAGAATTCAGAGCCTGATCAGTATTCAAGCAGTGACATAGCAATGTGCCATCACTCAAATGTCAAAAAAGGCATAAAATTACTAAATACAAAGCCGACAGAAAGCGGAACAGGTCTGCAGCTCAAGTGTCTTTCTTTAAGAGCTGAACATCTGCACATCAGCATCCTTTTTCCTGAAACCTCAAAATCTAACCTCTCGTGTTTGAGAATTATTTTTTTTTTTTTATTGTGGCCTAAAACTGACAACATGCCCATGCAAAACAAATGTTAACGGCCTTTTAAGCCTAACAACATCATTATTTATGGACTTATTTTGTGTGTGTATGTCTGTTTTATACCCTTACAGGACAGTGTGCTGGTCTTAGGATCAGAAAGGAATGTAACTCTGAATGCCAGAAACCACCAAGGCCAGCTGACCGGTCAGCTCACAGTGGGTATGTATTCCAGTCCTTACTATTGATTGATTTACTTTATTGATCTCACTGTGGAGAAATGTACTCGTTACATCAGCTCAAATAGTCAAAGGAGAAGAAGAATGTGCCAAAGGAAGACAAAGGTTTTTTTTTTGTTTTTACATGGGTATTTATATAGATGGATGTTTTTATATGTATAGTTATTATTGCACTGGGTTTCAAATATAGAGAAACAGGTTATTGCACAGGGTCTCAAAAAGTAATTGCACATTATAGATTGTACAAGTTATTGCCGTTGTAGTGATGCATTGTAGAGTCTGGTTGCAGCAGGGATGTATGAATGAATGCAGTAGTGCTCCTTTTTACAAACAGGGTGTGAAAGGCTTTTACTAAAGGAGCTTACTATGCCCAGGTTGCTATGCCAAAAATCTGTTTCAGTGACCAGTGGGAACTTACTTTGCTTTCAAGTTAATATATTCCCTGAATCTTAACACACAGCCATATTCGATAAATTGGAACATTATTGAAAAGTTATTTTTAAGCCACTTAATGGACTATGTGAATAGAGATCACCTGAAACAGGTTTTTAAGACCCGTGTGTCATATTTAGAGAAGAACGACTCTTAATCAGGGCAACCACGGAGACAGCCAGTTAGGTTAAAGAAGAGCTTTATTTAGTAGTGAACAGGAAGGAACAGGCTTGAAAGGATGGTGTCCTGGGTCCAGGTGCAAATCGAGACTCTCTCTCTTTCTGGTGATGGTGTGTAAGAGGGTGGACAGGCAGGCAGGCTCCTGGAGGAGGGCTGAGGCAGACTGTGACCTGAGAGATCCAACTGACGAGGAAGGTCCAGGCTTGGAGGTTCAGATGGTTTGGATGGTGAACACGCTTGTAGCGAGAAAGAACTGACGCCCTCCTGCTGGTCCCAGCTCCTTAAGTAGGGTCCTAATTAACCGAGAAGAACCGCACCTGCCCATCATGCCCCGCAGAGAAGACAGAGAGAGAGAGAGAGACAGAGAGAGAGAGACGGAGAGAGATGCCAGGCCTGCAGTATGACAGCGTGACGATATCGATTATTTCGCCATTAGCCTAACCGATCCCCGACACAGTGATGTTTAAGTAGTTTCCTGTTATTACCTATAATTATTTTACTCACAGCTAAGCATAAATGAAAAATTTTAATCCATAGTCAACATGTTAATACAGAACATTTTATTTAATGAAGAACAGGTTTTCTAGCTGTTTTATGTTTTTTTCTTTTTTTTTTGTTTCCCTAAAAGTACCTCAAACCTGAAATTACACTTATTGGAACAAATTTTGTGATTTTGATTTCTGTGTTTCACAGAGAGATAGACTGATCAGACGTTAAATTGGTAATTATAATATACGGTAGTTATCTATATTTGAACTACAGGCAATGTCCCACTGCATGGACATGAGAACAGATCTTCATTAAGATTCATAAAAACAATTATATTTAAAACAGTAACATAAATGATATTTTCATTTTTATGCAGACTTGGTCTGCATGTCTTACCTTAAATCTGACCTTGCCAACCTGCAACAGTCCAATATGTTGGTCGAAAGCCCAAGAGGTAAAACAGATCAGCTTTATACTCTGTTTAGCCTAGCCTGTTAGGCCGGATAGACCAGGGAAGGGAGCTGGTAGAGCCTCATTTAAAAGGTGGAACCAGAGCAGGACTGACAGAGTCTATGGAAACAGGTTAGAACCAATCAGATAACCCTGAATATGATGAAAAAAGTAATCTTTAAGAAGAAAAGCTATTTATTAATTCCCCAACACATCAAAGGGCATTAATAAAACATAATTCTACCATGGACACAATATCGACCTTTATGGTTACGGAAAAGCTATTTGCATTATGGGTAATTCTGGCACAAGCTTAAACTCCTGTTTTCTGCGATTGAGCCTTGCCAAAATGATTTGCCCCCCCCACCCCCATGGGATTCTTCTTCCTGTTATTTGGAGAAAGTCTTTCATGGCTGTCTTTGGAGTTGCGCATTGCGCTTGGAATTCTATTCTATTTATTCTACGCTATCTGGATGCTGTTTTTAGAGATTAGAAAAACATTTAGATGCCCACAGTTAAAAATGGATGCATCTCATGTTAATAAAAATTGTTGTTAGTTTAATTATTCTGTTTTATTTTTTCACAAACAGTAACCCCTAAGCCACTTATATAAAGGGCAGTAGATTCATCTTACCCTTAAGTCCAAACATCAGTCAGCCTAAATGACCAAATTACCAATTAAAGTGATTAATGACCACCGAAGAACAAATGACCCGCTTCTTAACATTAATAGCTATTGATCTTTGTCAACATAAGTAGAACGTTGATCCTAATTTGATAAGACTGGTGATATGACACATTCTGGTCAAGCTTGACCTTTCTGAGAAAGCCAGAGGGATTTTTTTTCTTTTCTTTTTTTTTCTAAAGGGGTACTTTTTAATCTGGAACAACATGGAATATGTACAAGTAAACACGAAGTGAGACTAATCACAACCAGCAAAATAGGCTATAAGATTTAAGGCTTTAGAAATATGGAAAAAAAAAATAACCTAATGGTTTTCTTTCTGCTGGGTTGTTTTCTTTTCCATTGCATTTCTAGTAAAATGTTTCAGTAATTACATTAAACATAAATGCCATGATAACTCTTTGCTTCTAATGATTAAAGATTGTTTTCAGGATCAACACTTTACATGTAGCTTCTGGTAATATCCTGAAGGGATATTTCATCATTCGTCTTTGGGGGACCAGTAGAGCCGGTTTAAATTGCTCTGTTTCTTTGAACAAACCCTCATTTTAGGTATAATTCATTGAATTTCAATGAGGTTGTGGTCAGTGCTTTGGATGGGCAATTTAATACAGTAAGCCACATACTTCTTTATTTATCCATCCCAAAACCAGGTTTGACATGTTTATTTGGTTCAATGTCTGGTTTGAACACCTTAATACTGTTTTGTGTTTTTGAAGAAATGAAAAGAAAGTTTTGAAAAAGGTAATTAAAAGGTAATTAAACTACTGTTAACTATTAAACAGTTGAGAATATGAAAATCACGTATTTATTGTTCAAATATTTCTATTTGAATGACTTTGATTCGCCTCATCCCGACTTTATTTGAACATTTCAGCCCCTTTTAAATCTGTTTTTTATTTGAACCAGAGGTTATTAAACTGAATTGGATACCCAAACTAAAGCACTGAATAACAATATTTGTGGAATCTTGTAGAATAAGACGGTCTCTTTGGGTTGGATTCAGGGATGATGAACAAGGAGGAGAATTGAATAACAAACCTTAGGCCTACTGGTGCTGTGATGATGAGAGTTCAGCAGGATGTAGGCAGAGTCCAGCTACATTCTGAGTTGTATGCCCTCCAACAAAGGGTAGACATGTTTTTCAGTGAGGAGAAAAGGAAGAGGAGCCCTGAGAGACAGTGCTAGGGTAAAGAATCAACAGTTATTGTTCCACAGGATGGGAATCAAAAAGCTGGGGCTTCCAGAAGCTTGACAGGAGAAAACCTTGAAGGAAGAAGAGCAAAGACGGGACTGGTGCCACAGAAGAACATATAAACAAGCTGTAAGGCAACAGGGAGGGCTTAAGTTACCAGTAAGGTTGATATTTCTGTCCAGAAGCCAGCTCCTCCTGTTGGTGAGTTAGATGGAACACAGGTGGACAGAAGCAGCTGTAATCTGTCTATCGAATGAACCTGTTCACTCAGCAGGAAGGGGAAAACTCAGACAATGTAGACATTTGACTAAAAACAACAGAATTATTTGAAAAAAATTGGATTGGAATTTTCTTCAAACATTCAGGCCACCACAACCCAATTACAAAAACCAATTAACCAGTGGAAGTAAAACATTCAAAATCATCTATATGAATAAAGTTTATTTTGTACAGATCATTATAAGGAAGTACAAATTGTTGAAAAAGCATGGCCTGAAAACTTTCTGGGATAATCTTCCTTCAAGAATACCAACAACAGCATCTCTACCTAGAACCATAAACTGTTCTTGCTTCTGATATTGGGGGGGAAATAGCACACAGTCTATGGAGCTAAAAAGCAAGTTTCCTCCTTGTCTTCATTTGTGTCAATATTAGACTGTCGGACTCAAGTTAGACCCCTGGCCCTGCCTTGCACAACCTCCATCATCCCTCCGCGCCACCTGAATACTGCTTCTTATCTGGGGTTCAGCACCTCTGTATGTCTACATCTTATGTGCAATAAATACAGTTTCAAATGGAATGTATGAGATATGCACAGCTCCTGATATTTTCAACATCTGTTGCCTTTTCATTCCTTTTTGTATTAGTTTTTTACTTAGCTTTGTTGCCAATTAGTTAAGTTTGGTATATTTCTAATGCTGCTTTCTTCCTTTTATCTTTCCCTGACACCATTGCAAACAATTCGCATCTAGTTCCTGAAGTTTCCTGCTCTCCTCCTTACTGTCACTGTTGTGGCACTAGTACTGACTCTGCTTTATTTTCTGTCTTTGTTTAAAGAAAAAAATCAAATAATCTACGACATAAATATGTTATTATTTTGTCAGGATTTTACCTGATAGAATGCAAGAAGTTTAACAATCACCTAATATTTCACGGGGTTTAGGAAGTATAGCTACACGAAATATGAGTTCTTGGTCTTTGTAGGATTAAATACATTAATACCATCTTCTTTAATAACGTTGTAAAATATGCATTATCCATTGTAAAACGTAAACATTTATTTTATTAGGTTCCCTTAGGTTTCATAAAGTGGATCTAACATCCTTAATCAGCTCGTTGTGCCTAATTGGCCATAACGGCCTTTTGTGATTATGTCTTACCTGCTCTTCAAGATTATTTTGGAGCATTTTGCCTCCGGTTCTCTTTTCTTTTTATACTTTTCCTCTCTCCTCGTTTCCTCTTGTCTGTCTTTCCCACTCTATGCTAAATGGGGGTTTAGCCTGTCTCAGAAACAGAAAGGTGGGGGCTGCTGCTCCTTCTGTTGGGGATTAAGCAAGGCAGATACTGGAGTAAAACATAGCAATGGCATTAATTGCTTATCTCTAAAAGGGAAGCCATATGGAAGAGAACCATTGGTGTGAGCCAATCTGCAACCACATAGGTGGTCTAAAACCCAGGCCATGCCACTGGGAACTGTCCAGCCTCTCAATGGCCAGTCTGTGTTTTGGTCCAGTTCATTTAAGCTGGTAAATTGTTGACTTGTTGGTTTGGGGGAGTACCTTGTTCAAATGTTGAGTGAGCTAAAACCTAACTGCTGCTTTACAATGCTTACACCAACGTTAGGTTTTGGTTTTGGTCCACCTTCTTTTCTCCACTGTTATGTAAGGAAAATGTTGCAAACAGAGGAGTTTAGTAATAGCGAGGAGCTTTTAGGTCTTCCTTTTATAATGTGTAGTACAGAACATTGTCCCCTTGGTTCCACACATATTCTCCTTATGTTCCAGGTATGGCTGAAACAATCAATTGGATTAAGCGTGATTAATTGATTATTGAAATAATCGTTGAACATTTTAGCTTTTCACTGAAAGAGCAACCCACTTAGAGCAGTAACTATAGCAACATTGTAAAAAAAAAAAATAAAAAAATACATATATATTGCATTCAAGATTAAAAAAATATATTTTTGTCCATCAATATGCTCTATTTAGAATTTAGTTTTAGTTTCACCTAGTTTGATCCTGTTAAAAAAAACCTTTAAGGAACCATTTTCTATCTGATTATTAATCGATTAATTGAAAAAAATATCCACAGATTAATCAATTATTAAAAAAATTATAGTTGCATCCCTAGTTCCAGTAGAGAACAGCACTGTCTTCGGTCCATGTGCATACTGAAAATTTTCTGTATAAAGTACATAGGCTACTATTAGACCTTTAGCGATTAAAAAAAAAAATTTAAAATTGTCCCTTGAAGACATGATGTACTGCCACCATGCTTGTTAGCCAGTTTGTTGCTATTGCGTTTGACTGACAGCACTAGAATCCGGTAAAATACCTTTTCATAGGATTTTTTTTTTCTGTGGGCTGCATTCCAGCATTGCCTTTGAACTACAAGAAATAGTTTATTCTGTAAGCCATGCATTTACAATGCAATCAGCACTTAGAAATAAAATTGCCTTACCCTGCCATTTGCAACACTACAATTTTTGTTGTCAGCCTTCCTCCACATTTTCTAAATGCTCTTTTTTTTTTTTCCTGCAGGACCTGAAGGTGTGGAGGCTCAGTGCCAGAGGCTGGAGGTGCGAAGCAGGAATGGTGGCAGACTCCTGTTCTCTGCAAACGAGCAGGAAGTCACAATGTCAACAGAAAGGTTTACTGTCACAGGTAAACATTAACATTTAACATATTTTCTACCATATCTAGCATTGTAGGAGGCAACTAACCAACACAGATTATTGTTTGTTGTTTTTTTCCCCTCTGCAGTTTCCTTTATTACTAGTTTAATAACAGTAATTGCAATGGTTAACCTCATTGAAAACATAGAATAGGTCCTTCAGTGGTTAGACTTTCAACTGAAACAACAACCCAGGGATGATCCAATATGGCTGCAATATGTAAAGAATGCTGTAATTGTTTATATTATGGAATTGTATTTAGTATTTCTGATGGTTTGTACTGTATCACCGGTTTTTGCAAACTTCGGTTGTGAGCATCTTAATTTTGATTTTGAAAGCATGAAGACAAATTAATATATAATGTATTGCTAGTATTTAGTGTCCAAACAAAGAACAAATGCAGCAGGTTTTCAACTTGCAACCGAAATGATCTTAGCTGTGATGTCATTCCCAGCTCAGACTTCCAAGAATAAAAAAGCACAGTATTAAGCTGGCATACACTATACACTATACACCATTCTTAACAATTTAGCCCCTTTTTGGTCTCCATCAACAGACCAAAGGAGAAACCCCTGCAAAGAGCTGATAACTCACTTTTCAGTTTATAATCAAATATATAAACAAAAATATTTCTCGCAAACCCACTGGTAGTCGAACCAGTTTATTGGGAAAAACCCACTGGTATCATTTTACTGGTAAATTCTCGTGGTGTTTTATCGGCAGGCTCTGAAGGTGCCATTTTTGGACGCTCAGTGGAGACACCGCTGATCCGAGCGGCGACTTTTGAGGATCTGAGGTGAGTTGATGTTTGGTGACTTTACAGAATATCATTAAAGCTTAATGTCATCTGTTCATATCCTGTTAAATTAAAATTAAGATCCTTAAATATCGAAGATTAATGCTCTGTGGCATTTCAAAGTCAATGCCAGGGCTTTATAAGGAAAAAAAAGAACAAAATGTGTGACAGGAACCATTAGTCACCACTATCATTATCTCAAACACCATATTGTAGACTCGGGCATCTACTGGTTACTGCAACAACTAGATTTGACCACTATATTAATTTCACAGCCGAGAGGCGAGCGAAGTTATTAGTTTTTCTCAATAGCAGACAGGAATTGATTAAAGCAGTAAGAAAACATTGAGAAAGTGTGAAAGGTTGAGCTACGTGCTGCGCTCCTTCACTCCCCTTGTGAATGTGATCCCTGCTGAACTCTGCCTGAGGCGCCGAGCCCCTCGACGCTCCATTAACGAGCTATCAGGGGTGCAGTTTGTTGTCTACCTTACTGGTCCAGAGAGGAGAGCTGGGATCAAAGTTGACAGAAAAAGCACTGTTCTGGCAGCTAATTCCTCTAGAGTGAGAGGAATACTGATGATTTTCATTTTCGAGCCACACAGACGCACACATAACGCGCACAGACAGGCTCAGCTCAGGGGTGACCATCTGCAAAGTGATCAGAGTCTCGACTAGGGGCAGTAAACCAGGACACGGCCAGCACATAAGGAGGGGAACAAAACTGTGCTTCTGTCAGGAATATTAAATCCTAGTTGCATTTATTTTTGGTTAAAAAAAACATTGAAAGATAAAATGTTTGTCTTTTCCAAATAATGAATCACTGACAATACTTCAAAAAAGGACATCTGCAAGCTTTCCCCATCATTCTGCTTCTCTTTGAATTAAATTTGTTTTCAGGAATAATAGACACGTTTTTTTCTCTACAAATGGGCAAACTGGAATTTAAAGACAATTTAATGATGTGAATTCATGACTAACAAGGCTTTTGGTGGACATAAAAGCTTGACCAAATATTTAGAAGGAGGCCAAACTGCTCTCATTATTTAGGATGTTGCTTTTATTTTTTATTTTATTAATCAAAACTCGGTGTAAAAAAAAAAAAAAAAAATGCAGATGTTTTTATCTGAAGTCTGTGGAAGCGACAGCATTAATGCAAGTAATCTCACAGGAAGGAATTAGAAAAGAATCCTAAGCTTTGAATGTAATGTAATGTAGGGGATTTTTCCATCTAGCATCCCTTTCATTTCAAGATTTCTGGCTGATGTTTGCTTCCTGGAAAAAGCCACTTAACTCTCAGTCCTGCCAAGTCATTTGCCTACTGAGACAGAACCTCTATTCTAAGTATCCTTCATCCTAATCACCAGCGGTGAGAGCCTCCAGATGCCTTTAAATGAACACATAAACTTAAAACTTAACTTCTAGCTGTATACCAGCAGATGACACGAGTCCTACAATCACTGCTGACTTTGGAAACTTTAAAACTGACCCAAAGAAACTTGCATTCTGTGCCTCTTCAGTCTTTCAGACCTTTGATTTTTAAATTATATAAGGAATGTTACTCTAATATGAAAAAAAAGACAATGGGCCTCATGCAAGAAATTCATGAGATGCATTGTCCACACAAATTCACCATTTTTCTCCTATTTCATATATATATCTATATCTTTTGTCAGGTACAAACCAGTTTCACGAGTGATTTGACGTAGAAGTCTTGCACAATCAGTCACATGTTATCCAAACCTAGTTTTTCACAAAATGACTGCATTTGTTGTTACTTAAAAGGAATTGTCCATTATATTAGGCTACATCATTATATATTAGCCTATGCATCTTTACGATCATATATTACATTTTTATTTGCTGATGACAGATCTATGGGTCAGTACACTTTAATTAATTTTTTTTTTATTTATTAAGTACATTAGTGTGTACAATAAAAAGTAGGGATGCACGATATAATCGACCCCCTATCGGTATCGGCCTGTATCGGCTTTAAAACTGAATATCGGATATCGGCCACCCCACCGATATTTAACCCGATATTTGATCAGCTTCTGAATTTCTAAAGTCTAAAAAAATATATATATACTACTTCTTCTTCTTCCTCAAAAACTTATTTTTTACAGACTTAAAAACTTCTAAAGACGAGGGAAAAAATATTGATACATTAAAATATCAC